TGCAACCTCTCCCCTCCCTTCATTAATCTGTCTAGCAATTACGCTGTAGCTTTGGTCATGCAGTTGGTGTAAGTTGACTATTATGCTGCTGTTCTGGTCAGATCAAGAATAGGCTTTTCTGTATGGACACACAAATGGCACAGTGTGTTTCTATTGTGGTTCTCTTCACTCATCACTCTGGAGATGAACAAGTAAATCTTTGGTAACATTCTGAAAGAGAATGGGGGAGGGACTGTAAAAGATCTTATTACAAGGTAATGCTAAAATGTGACCCTGGACCACAAAACCAGTCTTAAGTCGCTTGGGTATATTTTTAGCAATAGACAAAAAAACATTGTATGGGTCAAAATTATCGATTTTTTTTGCCAAAAATCATTAAGATATTAAATAATGATCATGTTCCATGAAGATATTTTGTTGTGCACATAGATCTTCTGATGCCGCTGGACACATCATCAGTGATTTTATTTTCCTAACGTAAATATATCAAAACTGAATTTTTGATTAGTAATTCATGTTCCATGAAGATATTTTGTAAATTTCATACCATAAATATATTAAAACTTAATTTTTGTTTAGTAATATGCATTGCTAAGAACTTCATTTGGTCAACTTTAAAGGCGATTTTCTCAATATTTTGTTTTTTTTGCACCGTCAGATTCCAGATTTTCAAATAGTTGTATCTCGGCCAAATATCTATCCTAACAAACCATACATCAATGGAAAGCTTATTTATTCAGCTTTCAGATGATGTATAAATCTCAATTTAAAAAAATTTAAATCAAACATGAAGTGTGGCATTTGGGGCAGGGCCAGTGATTGGCAGCTTCGGAATATATTTACCTACAAAATAGTAGATGAAAAACAGTAGGCGAAATGTACCCAGATGACCTACTACTTCCAGTGAGATTCATAAGTGTGCATACAGTAGACACTACTATCCCATGAGGCCACGGGGGAGGATTTGTAAATGACAGAGAAGAGACACAACTCATGCTGGTAAGTCACGCGACAATGGCAGCATGATGAATTTAGTACGGCCTGTATTACATTCATACTACACAAGTCATACTATATACAATGTTTTTTTAACAGTCAAATTACTTATTCAAAAGAAGCACCTACTCAGAGAGTATGCGCTTTTGGATGCAGCAACTGTCTTAATAAGGAAATAATTTACTAAATTGACTTATTCAAACACTGATTTGTTTAGGAACAAAATAATTGACTGTCATTATGAGTGAGTCAATTAATCATTCAACCAACACATTCATTCAAAATCACTGATTTAAATAGGAACAAAAAAGTGACTAGTTGTGTCAGAATTTGCATACTGTATATTAGGTTCTACATTTGGTTTAAAACTAACTTCGCGATCTTCGCGGAAAAAAAAAAACTTTGTATATAGTATGAATATGGGTAGTATACATTCACCATGTTGCCAGTGTCACGTGACCAACCAGCATCAGTTGCACCACTTCACTGCCATTTACAAATCCTCTCCCATTGCCTCATGGGATAGTAAAGCGTCCATTGAATGAGCACTCCAGAATCTCGGGGAAAGTAGTAGGTCATCCATACCTTTTTCGCCTATTGTTTTATGAATACTATGTATTCAGACATAATATTTTCTAGCATACTATTTTTCCATACTATATAGTATGAAAGCAGGCATATTCGGACACAGTGAATGTCTTTATGAGTGAGTTCATGGAACATTTACTGAACTAATTTGTTCAAAATCACTGATTCATTCAGGAAACACTAATATTTATGTTCCTTGGAGATGATTTCTGTTGTCATTGTTTTCAGAAATATCAAAAATAAACAAATTAACTGGCAACAGTGTATCTATAATGTAAGGCAGTCAGTATTAACTTCTTGTTTTTTAACCATTGAATAAAAGCAATATTACATGCATACTGAATACCAGCACAGCTGTGAACCACATCACTCTTGCTCATGTAATATTTTCTTATTAGATTCAATTATACAGAAGCACCAGTTTGGTTTATATATAGTATTTCCTATTCCACTGGCATTATCTAATAACGTGACCGAAGCGAAGCTTGACATTATTGAAGATGCTTAACTAAGGATTATATACCGTAAAGGACGAGCTGTTTTAATGATTTGTATAGACATGGTTTAGTTGTATCCATCAGCTGCAGCTTGTACTTATATCAGACAGACTGGTTTTCACACCTCTCTCTTTTCAGACCCCAGTCCCCTCAAGCTTGGGCTCCAACAACACACACAGCAACAATTACCCCAGTGTCAGAAAGACACCTAATAATCATGTAAATTAGTCAGTGACTTGTCGTAGCATCTATTTGCCTCTGTTAACACCAGTGCAGCAAAAGTCTATTATCTTCTCGAGCCAAAATGGCTACTGGCCAATTTGCGGGGTAAAGACTGTGTTTTCTATAAAAGACTTGATGAGACACATATGAATTATTGAAAACGTATTCTTGCATGTAGAGCAAAACTCTAAATCACAACAAAGAAGTGGCTTATTTTGCACCACTGCTTTTTTCCACACCTGCAATGCAAAACTTTCTCCATCAAAGAATGCAGCAGAATCTAATGAATAATCATCTGCTACTAATGTCCTCTGCAGGGAGTCTGGCTTAATAAAGCCGTGATGGGATTGTGAAAATGAGATACAATCTAATTAGAGCTGATGTGGAAATCTGACACATCACCTGTGATCCAGCATCCATCATTTCAATAGGTTTTCATGCAGACAAGGACAACTGTGAGGGCGTCAGTCTGTTTTCAGTTAAACAGCACTCCACACTCATAGAGGTAAGTGTTGTTTTTTCCTCTACTGTGTGTCTCATCTTTAGACATCTGTTGACTGTTAATGGGATTGTGCAGGGCTTTCCATCCATCATCCACAGCCACACTGTGTCCTGCCATCCCTGAACAGCATCTGTGCCTCAGTACCCAATCCCATGAAGGTTTTCACACTGGAATACTTTCAAACTAACCTGGAGCCATGTTGTATTTACCTCAGTGTGCTTGGAACAGACACGCTTGGATTTGAAACACAGAAACATGTTATTGTTTTTTCTTTTCTGTCAGAATGTTTCAAATTTTGCATCCGCCCGAGTTTGCCAGAGATTAGAAATCACAGACGCACATGTTGAATGCCTCAGCCTTAGACAAGGCTTCTGACATTTGAAGACACCGAAAATTGGCTTGTTTACAGAATCGCAATGATTTGGCAGCCAGCAAAAAGGCAGGAGGAAATGCTGCAAAATGATAAACAAATATAGTACAAAAACAACATTTTGTCATTGAGACATGCAAGATTATCACCTCCTCGCACAATTACCTCACAATGTGAGATTTTCCATGCGAATTACTCCTGAGGAACGTTTCCTCCCACTTTTCAAACATAGCAAGCTGCTTGACATTTCCCTCTGAGGGAAACCAGACACTTGGTTTTAAATCTGCTCAACAATATAAGAAAAGAGCCTCTATTCAGCTTTTATCTGGCACTAGTGATTCACAGTGATGGTCCGATAACATGCCGTGGCATTTAGTGCCCCCACGGCTCAGCCATGGATGCCAATGGTGGGCTGGAGGGCCTTCGATTTGCCTAGTGAGGTTAATACAAAGTGACAAGATTTTTGTCTACACTCACTTGACACAGTTCTTCCAAGCAGGGGTCTGTCAACACATCGACATGGCAGAATGACAACAACAAAACCAGCCAAAAATACCTCCAGTCTGGTTGCAAGCAAATTGATTGAACAGAGCAAAATAATATAAGAGACCTTCAAAAAGCCCTTATACCTCAAATCTCTCCTCAAGTTTAAGAATTTAAATAAATAAATTTTTACTTTTCAAAAATACATTATAGAATACATTTAAATATACAATATACTTAACGTTAAAACATTTTAGATTAGAATTAAAAATATTCATAATAAAATGTTTTATTTTGATATACAATATTGTGATGTTTTTATTTTTTCATTTTTATGCAATTATTATTATTGCCTTATTGATTTTAATGCAAAAGGTTACTTTTAAAGCTTGTGTGTGTGTTTAATGTTAATGTTTAAATATAGTAAACATTAAAAGCAGCCATTTTAAATTAGCTTTAAAAGTATATGAATAAAATAATAAAATATAATTTAAAGTTTGTTTTGATTAAATATAAAATGATTGGTTTTAATGCAATGCTTTTTAAATATTAACAACAAATAATAAAATTAATAATAATAAAAGATTAATAATATGATTTTTTAAATAATTGTTTTCTAATAAATTTAACATGGTTGCTTTTAATGCAAAAAAAATTATTGCCCTTTCCTCTTCAATGATTTCACAGATGTGCACATTAATTACAACTTTCCAAGCCCCGTTATGTCACCGAAAATTTAATTTAATTTAATTTAATTTAATTTATCAAAAAAAAAATGTTCTAACAGATCAATGGGACCCTAACTCAAGAAAAAAATGCTGAATCTATGCCTGCTACCAAAAAAAAGAAAGAAAGAAAAAAAAAGGTTTCAGATAAGGCTTCCACACATGATCAAACGTTTTAGTCCACATCTAATAATAATAATACAACATAGTTCTGATAAAAGCATGAGCACGCAGTAATTTTTCTGTCACGGTGCATAAGCACTGTGGCAAAACCAAACTATTTTTATCTCTCGGGGACACTGAAACCGTTTCTGCCAAAGTAATTTTCTTAAGAGTATCATCTGATAGGAATCTTTGTCTGGCAGTTCTGGACTTAAATAATTATTCCCACTACAACTCACACAGGAACGCAGTCAAACCGTGAGTGATGCTATCCCGAGAGTAGGTAATTTTTATCTTGATACCAGCCTGGCTCTGTTTCACAGTTGTTCCTGAGCCAAAACAAACCATTTCTGATTTAAATGAGAATCTCATTAAAAAAAAACACCATCAATAACAACATAATCCACTCTACAAGCAGCAGAACCATAAATCTAAAGGAAAAGTCTGGTCATTACCTGAATCCTTGTGGTTGTACTCTTGATTGGAGATGAGAAAGAGGAACTCCTCACAGGTGTTGTGGTCCAGCCGCGGGCTGTCCTGCGTACAGAGGTCAACTATGAGAGACACTGCCTTCTGACAGATCATGTCATGCCCCTTTCCGGCAGCAGTCATGCTCCCTGACGCATCCTCGGCGTTACTGGCTCCTCCAGTGGGATCCGAACACACCCCCTCTCACCCACAGCGCCGCTGAAGCAGCCACATGAACGCAAGTTTCTCCTGCTGCTGATTCTTATTGTTCCTCAAGTGTGTGTGCAAGAATGTGTGTGTCACAGTTTTTGTTTGTGCATTTATGTGGGTGTATCATACAAACGTGTGTGTGCAGTGCTTAATGATTCACTAACCCCCCCAGGTATTCCAGAGATGGCATTATTGCATCACATTTAATCTCAAGATCCACAAATGAAATGCAACAAATGAGTCCAGCGGCGCAGGAGGGAGGCTGTGATTATACAGCGCTGAGCATCTGCCTCCTTCAGCCCCTCTTTGCTCTCCGCACCCCCGCCCCACACCAATCCCTGCGCCCTGTAATGAAAAGCCTCTCATTATGACCATTGGGCTTGTTTTTCTCAGGTCGATGTGTCCCTCAGTGCCTGTCCTCAGAGATCAGAGCCCTGTGTGCATACGTGTGAGCAGAGGGAATAGTGTGTGCTTGTGTATGTACCATTTGTGTCTTTAAGGACACTTCTGTAGAGCGACTATGGATGATTCATTACTCTAATTTCTGTTTTATGATGACTGTAACTATATGTGGCTGTTTGTAGTTAATTGTGTTTACATATTCACTGCCGATGTGATATATGGAGATTTTAATATGTTCAGAACACTCAGTCAACAGCCGTATTAATTTCATGCAACTGAACTGCCAAGAGGAATCAGCATTATGGGGTATTTTGTATCTGTAAAGAAAAACAGATAAAAAAGATATAAATATGCACATGTACATAAAAAAACATATACATATATACAGTACACACAAACAAACATACAGTGGAGATCAAAATTAGAGAACAACCTACAATTTTCTAAATTTCAAGTTCACTGCTTAGTCCTATTTGTCTGCTTAGTTATCCTAACAGGAGTAAAAGCACAGTTTTAAGAATATTTCATGAGTTAAATATATTCTGAAGCACAGTATAAAAAACTTAAATGAGATATTTGAAAAAGAACACTGATCAAAATTAGAGAACACTTTCAGTTACCTCCCAGGCACATCGTGCTAATTTCTTTAATTATCAGACAAACATTATTTAACTGGCAACTCAATGGGCAATCGGTTCAACACAGCAGCTGGAATTGCTCGCCAGTTCAGTGCTGAACAGGGTAAAAATCTGTCTCAGCAGTGTCTCGACGTTTAAGAGAATTTGAAGAGAACCTTTGCTGAGCTTACTTCAACGATGAAAGCAAGTTAAATTTATTTAGGGCTGATGGGAAACATTATGTTCGGCGCCACAGATGTGCTGAAGTCATTCAAAGCATGGGCCTGTACACTTCCTACTAATTTCTGATTGCTGTAACCTTCAGAAATTTTAGTTCTTTGTGCTACAATCATTGCTGTTCTCTAATTTTGATCACTGTGTTTTCCACAAAATAAAGGGTTTTTGTTGAAGTGCCTTGGTTATTTTGTAAGAAATTGTTCTACTAGCATGGTATAATCCCAAATAAAATTTCTTTAAATTTTGAACAATGAAGATTGAATAATTTCTGAAAAAAAATCAAGTGTTCATAAATTGTTCTCAAATTTTGATCTCCACTGTATATATCATTAATTTATATAATACAAAACAATCAATCAGAAAAAATCTAATACACTAATGAAACTACAAATACAGTATATTCAGTCCAACAAAGACTCCACTGCACCATTACACTGTAAAAAAAAATGTCAACCCACTAAAACTGACTAAAGTTTAATTGCAGCCTTACAAAAACATGATGACCAGCAGTGATGAGTTCACTGCTTTTTTTTTTTAACACTGCAATTAATTGCTGATGACAATTGAGTTAAAACCCATACAATCAAGTAGAAATGAAACAATTTTGACAGCCTGTGGTTAAATGGACTGTGTACATGCACCCACACACACACACACACACACAATAAATGTATAATATAAATTCACAACCATTTATATTCTCTACATCTATTTTAATATACCACTTTAAATAAAAATTTACTAAATAAATTCTGAGACAAAGGGCCAGGTAAATTACAGTCAGGTCAGGTAAACTGCAAGAAAATTAAATTAATCTGATATATTTCACCCCATTTTGTGACACACACCAAAGAGTATGCAGTGTGAAATCGTTCGCTGATATTACTTTGATATACACACACTACACAGCTGAATGCCTGAATCTAAATTCAAGCAAATAAAATAAATAATGAAATAAACATACCCATGCAGGGCTTCTAAAATGAATCAGATTCCTAAAAGGCTTTGTACAGTTCACTAAATACTGTGCAGCTCAAAGCAATGAGTTTCATTGAATTAAAGATGTGACACAGAAGTAGTAAATGCTTGCTAATTGACATCTTAATTTACTGCTTATCCTCATCCAGACTCCCCTGATAGCCCGGTGTTCCCCTGTTTAATAAGAACATTGTCAGTAGTCTAAGGCTTAACAAAGCCGTTGATTCAGACTCGTGCATTCTTCTTTCTTTATCTGCACTGTGGACCCTGAAGGGTCAGATGATACCTGTTTGTCTATAATAAAGGGTTATTCCATCACAGAGAGAAATTATTAGATAAATGCCTCCGTCAGGCAATGGTTACAGAGTGCTAAAGGGCAAAACATAATTTTATTACTGTGCTGTGCTTTCCAGTGATATCACAGTGTCATAATTAGACCAGCAGACCTGTAATTCTCATTTTTATGTGGCTCAGTACTTGATGTTTTTATAGCAGGGCATCAATAAGAAATAATACTTAGTCAGAAAGAATTATGCTTTTCGGGATTCTGAAATGGGTGTCTTCAGCAAAGGCATATTTGGTCCTGTAGACTTAAAAAAAATAAAGTCTCTTAAAACACACTTTTCATATCATCACTAGCTTGTTCCACAACAGTGTAATTTCCATCACATCACATATGATGTATTGCGTTTATTGGCAAAAAGATCATTTAAAAAAGCACAGTTTTATTGTCACCTTCATACAGCAAAAGCAAAAATAGTTAGATTTAATGATACTGAACACATAAAAGTTGGACATAAAAGTTGAAAAAACACCCAAATATACTATACTATTCTAAAACTGGGTCAGAATAACCACTCCAGTACCATCTTCAGCATCATAAACCTGCTTTTGGCAATGTCGTGTTTTCCACTGAACACACAGTGTTAAGCAGGTGCTCACATAAACTGTTTTTTTCTTTCTGCATCATTAGATTGTTATTTCTTCTGGCTGCACTGATCTGATTGTGAAAAGCGAGGGATGACAGGCGTTAGAGACTCTGCCACAGAGGAATGGCTGAGGTGACACTTCGGTTATTCATTCTCCTTCATGTTCACTAATTTCCTCCAGCAACTCAAATCACTCCATTGACTGCAATCTCAGCCTCTTGCGTATTACAGCCTAAACAGAAGTGAACTGCACCTTTTCATTAGGGCCATTTCAGCTTAATAACCAGAGGCTAATCAAAAAAACTGAGTGGGTCTGATTACAATCAACATTGGATTGTTGATGAAATGTTTATGTTGTGATATTTCAGCTTTCAAAATTGTAGGAATTTGCCATAACTTCATTACATATAGGGGAAAATAAAATATATATATATATATATTTTTCCCATTTAGGATGTGGTTTGTAGCCCTGATGCAAATGAACCTGGGGTTTATTGTAGCTGCTAGTGCCTGCTTAAAAAAAATAGATGCAAACCATAATCTCAATATTGATTCAGCATCTTTTTTTTTAAAGTTTATTTGTACAGCGCTTTTCACGATACAAATCGTTGCAAAGCAACTTTACAGCAAATTAAGTTTCTACAATATTTAGTAGTAGCTTATCAGTGGTGACTGTCAGATAATGTACATATAGCAGAAATGTACGGGAAAATCTATTAAAGACGTAATCAAACAGACGATGAACATCTCAGGACTTTATTGATACAGCATTTTATTTGGAAGGATACATCGTTGTGATTATTTTTAGTTGTACTCACTTTTTTTTGCAGAAAATTGAGACTGTCAATCAACTCCAGTCAAGCAGAACAAGATTGCAACAATGGGGAATGTAATACATTTTGGTTAATTATTCATGAAGTGAATTTTACATGTGAAGTATTAAAAAAAATGAACAGACCAATATGTTGCAGTGTAAAAATCCTACTCTTTCTCTTGTCATTATCACATCATCATATTTTCCCCTCACCTTTTTATATTCTTAAAGGTTTAATTCACACAAAAATTAAAATTCGCCATTATTTACACACCCTCATTTCATTTCAAACATGGAAATGGAACTGAAATATCAATAGCATTAAACTTCTTTTTTTCTGAAATGCCTCATAAAGAAATGTCATGACATTCATTTAAGTGATCTATACTAGAAAAATTAATTTAAAAAAAATAATTCACTCAGAAATTGCTAGTAAATTTGACAAACAATGGCAAGTAACACACTGAATTGCATGTGACATTTTAGAAAAACTGAAATAGTTTTATTTTTCTTTTAAAACGAATAATCTTTGTATTATTTACAAATTCGAAAAAAAAAAAAAATTCAGTAAATACTAGTGATGATTTCGCATGGATCACCTAAATATTTATACTACTTGGAAAAATGACTTCTTTTAACTATTGCATCAAAAATTGTCCCCAAATTCTGTCATATTATTGTCCTATTTTTTGACTCTACCCTGAATAGATTTTTAGTTCACATAACTAAAGTTAATTCTAAGAGTTTGGAGTTTGTCCAAAAGCAGTGATGAGTCTCTGAAGTGACAAGACCGTACCTGCAGGTGCAAAACTTCTCTGTCCGCCTGTCGCATGGCATAAGAGCCCGCTTATTCAAATCATGCTAATCAAGGACTGTCTAATGCTACAGACAGAAGAGCTGTACGTATTTATAAAGAAACAGAATGCATTTTGTTCAAATGGAAGTATATGATTCTAGTCAATTTGTGGTCCTATGAATCCAAGGGACAAATAGGAAATATGACATCCATAAAACATAACCAT